GTTTCTACTTCCCTAGAGAAAATGGAATATTGATCACTCATCATAAGAAACAGTGAGTGGGCATAAGCAGTCTCCACTTTATGAATGTGAAATCAGTCACGGACACTTGAGCATCACCACAACGCTCCACACTCAAAGTGCCACCAAACACCACAGACGACACATTCCTGCACACGTCACGGTGGCATCTGCATTGACCTTTAAGGATTTAAAGTTAACTCCCCAGTACTCCATTACACGTAAACATTCACACGTGCACCTGCACAGGTAAGTGAGGAAAATGAAAACCGAAACTGTTTACACTGTGGAGAGCAGCAACTGTGCCATTGCGGTCAACCATTAAGAAGCCTGCCTGACGATGACGCGGCCTGCTTGATGACAAAACAGTTGACATGGCTCTCCTGATGATGCTATGGCTCCGCCTGATGACACCATGGCCCTGTCTGATGACAAAACAGTTGACATGGCCCGCCTGACAATAACACAGTTGACATGGCAGGGCTGACACGGGAGGCATACAACTCGCCAAGGCTCACACGATAACGCTGCTTATCAACCATATATGTTGTGATAGGTCAGAGCTGAGGTTAAACAGAAAACATCAATTGAACCATTTCCCTGAATAAAGCTCCAGGGTGCAATATTCTAAGTACTTTATTCAATAAAAAATGCTTTTAAAACGGCACTTTGGTGATTGGGAAACATTGCCATCATCCATCAACCTAACTACAGCAAAGTTCAATAAGCTAAATAATGAACCGTTTGGATTATTTTCCTTAGGCTTTGGGGATCTGCAAACATTGCATCAATAGAGCTCTTTCAAAATTACGATGAAGTCTGTTCTTTTCATTTTCGGATTTAAAATATGTGTTGGGGATTTTTTTTTAAGGTTATTTAATGTTCTGCTACTTTTAATCTTTGTCCAATTTTCAAAGAGGAAATTTTTTACAAGTAAAAAAAAAAAAATAAGATTATCAGTTTCTATGTTATAATTTCTCTATGTTCTTAGTAATCTTTGAATCAATGAAATCTTTACTGTGAATTCCTAATTTAAGATAAAAAAAGTGTTATGATTTTTATAAAATTTTAATGATAGAAGATCCTAAACACTTTCGATAAAAGATGTATAGATTTTTGGCAGGTGATATTAGGTAAGTATGTAATAGAACATTTTTAAAACTTCCAATAATTTTTTTCTTGGGAAAAATCCATGTCAACGTTTACCATGATTATGGCTGGGAAATAATTTTTCAATATATAATCACATGGATTTTCTGACCATTTCTAGGATGCTACAAATAAAAACCAACATGTTCAACCCCTTCTTTATACGAAAAAGCATGGTGGCTCATTTTCTTTCAAAGAGCAGTTGCAAACAACCTGTGTTTGTTCTCCAAACCAGCACTGGAATGTTAACAAGTTGGTAATTTCTAAATCCTAACAATTCATCTTATCAGTGGGAGATCTCCAAATTTGCCTGCGAGTACCAGACTGTGTGTTTCCCCCTAGGTTCGCCTACAAGAGATTTTTACACATTTACCGGTCAGCATAGTCTATAAAATATAACAATGGTGATAATGAAAGGGACCTTAAAAATCTTGTCCACTGGTGAAGCCATTTAAGAAGCAGCAGACTGATAGTGAATGCCTGTGAAGAGAGCGGAGTGTGGGTTTCCATATTTCCCAAAGCTTTCTTCCCTCTGTTCTATGGTTAGCTTACATTCTGCAGCCTCTCAACGATTCCCAACACTGCACTAGACCCATGCTTGCTAGGCTATGTTCTGGAATGTAGCATTCCTAAAAAGAGGGCAGCAGAATGTGACTCACGAGAAGGAACTTAAGCCCTCAGCACAGTTTCATTACCATTCTCTATGGACACCCAGGAGTATGGGGCCTTGCCTGCATGTTAACCTCTAGCCCCAAGGGGTGGCCTCCAGCTCTGCGGACAGGAACAGGTGAGGCCCCTGTGGGAAATCTGGCCTCTTCCCACTTTCCAGGGAGCCTGTGCTAAGTCAGGACATATTCAAACCAACCTTCATGGAGTGATACTGCCAGCTATTCTAGGAGACATTGCTGTGGGAAGACATGGCTGTGGGGGACACGGCTGTGGGAGACATATCTGTGGGGAGAGATGTCTGTGGGGAGACATGTTTGTGGGAGATACATCTGTGGAGAGAGATGGCTGTGGGGAGATGCGGCTGTTGGGAGAGATGTCTGTGAGGAAACACAGCTGTGGGGGAGACGGCTGTGGAGACAGCTGTGGGAGACATGGATGTGGGGAGACATGTCTATGGGAGATGCAGCTGTGGGGGACATGGCTGTGGGAGACATGCCTGTGGGGAGCGATGTCTGAGGAGACATGTCTGTGGGGAGACATACTTGTGGGAGACATGTCTATTGGAGCTACATCTGTAGGGAGAGACATCTGTGGGAAACATGTTTGTTGGAGACACATCTGTGGGAAAGATGTCTGTGGGAGACATGTCTGTTGAAGATACATCTGTGAGAAGAGATGTCTGTGGCATACATGTTTGTAGGAAATACATCTGTGGGGAGAGACGGCTGTCGGGAGAGACGTCTATGGAGACAGCTGTGGAGGACACCGCTGTGGGGAGACATGTCTGTGAGAGACGCAGCTGTGGGGGACACAGCTGTGGGAGAAATGTGTGTGGGAGACACGGCTGTGGGAAACACGGCTGTGGAAGGTGCTGTGGCAACCTTACTGCACCCAGGGGACCTCCGACATAGTCAGGGACATGAAGCTCCTCTGTGCCTGGCAGGGATGTGTCTCTTCCGTGGGCTGCACATTTCCTAACATCTTAAAATAATAGCTATATCTCTGACTTAATTTAATCAGCAAAACAGGGTTGAATTTGACTGTGTTCCAGACTTTATACTACACATTATAATAGTGCCCAAAATTCCTTACTTTTAAAATTATTCATCCATAATTTTACATTTTTTATGGCAAGGGCTTTAATTTTAATTACAAAATATATCACTAGAGAGATGTTAGCTGTTGTGCCTTCTTGTTCTTCTCCTTACTCCTCCCTCCATCTCCATACCCTCCTGTCCCCTCCACTTCCATCTGCTACCAATTAACACTGGTGCAGTACGTTTGTCCCTATATTGCTATTATTTGCAGAATTAAAATTTAGCAGCTTCCTTATCCATATCTCAAGAAACTGAACTAGTACTTTCTTGGATTCAGTTTTTAGTGTTGCAACCTGTGACTCTGCTTAGTCTTTGGCATACATCTTAATATTTCCACTCACTCTACACTCATGCTGTCCATACTCACTTTGCATCTTTTTAATGGACAGTTTCATTGATACAATCTACATGTCATACAATTCACTCATTTAAAGTGAGTAATTCAATGGTTTTTAGTATACAGTAGTCAGAGTTGTGCAACCATCACCACAATCAATTTTAAAACATTTCTTTCCCCCAAAGAGTAATGCCACACTCTGTGGCAATCACCCCAATTTCCATTTCCCCCAGCCCTGAGCAATGACTGACTGACCTCTGTTTCTAGTGATCTGCCTGTTGTGGACATTTCATAGAAATGGACCAGTCAGTACATGGTCGTTTGTGTCTGGCTTCTTTCACTCAGCTTGTTTCAAGGTTCATTCATGTTGTAGCATGTATCAGAACTTCATTTCCAAATAATATTCCATTGTAGGGATATACCACATTTTATTTATCCATTCATCAGGTGAAGGACATTTGGGTTGTTTCCAGTTTGGGGAAATAATGAATAAAGTACAAGTTTTTGTGCAGACATGTTTTTCTTACTCTTGGGTGTATATATATACCTAGGAGAGGAATTGCTGGATCATATGGTAATGGCTGCACCATTTTACATTCTTATAAGCAATATATGAGGGTTCTCATTTCTCCACATCCCCACTATTGTATATTATTATCTGACTTTTTGATTATAATCATCTTGCTGTTGTTGTTAGGTGCTGTTGACTCAATTTAGACTCAAAGTGACCCCATGTGACAGTGTAGAACTGCCCCAAAGAATTTCCTAGGCTGTGATATTTATGCGAGCAGATCACCAGGTCTTTCTCCTGTGGAGCCGCTGGGTGGGTTCAAACCACAGACCTTTTGGTTAGCAGTCGAGCACTTAACCGTTGCGCCACCAAACCCCAAACCAAACCCACTGCCACTGAGTTGATTCTGACTCATCGTGACCCCATATGACAGAGTAGAACTGCTCTATAGGGTTTCCAAGGCTGTAAATAAATCTTAATGGTAGCAGACTGCCACATCTTTCTCTTGCACAGCGGCTAGTAGATTCAAACCACCAATCTTTTGGTCAGCAGCTGAGCGCTTTAATCACTGCACCACCAGGGCTCCTTCACATGAGAAAAGTGTCTATAAAATATACTAAGACTGTGCAGTCACTGGACAAATCAATAACAGATTTTACCAATCTAAAAATCGAATCACGTTAAGTTAGAAATGACTAGTTACCTTAATTAAGAATTTACCATTTCAGTCTTATATAGATTTTTGAAATTTTACATCCCAGTTTTCTTTTGAAATAATATATCAGATCAAAATTCTGGCAAATTAACTGGAAATTTAATAAGCAAATCTGATAACTCATTTCGAGATGAGAAAAGACTGAATGATGCATCCTGTAGTAACCGCCCTAAGTTTCAAGAAACTTACTAAAAATCTGACTTGGTCGCAAACTAGCTTGTGAGATCAGCTGAGCCGTCTAACGCTTCTCCGATTGTTTCCTGTAACCAGCTCAGAGACGCTGGGGATGCATGGATCCCTGAGATGTGGGTCTCCATCTGTGGGCTCGGACACCAGGTGGTGTGGCCTACAGCTAAAGCTGTGTTAAAGACCACAGTCAGACCCCCTCTACCCTCCCAAAGAACTACTCTCATGTCTTGAGTCCAAATGAAAACACACCACAGGGCAGATTTCTAGTCTGAGAAGAAAGCAGCAGCACAGACTCCTTGTGAAATGGCCCCTTACCTCGTCGGGGCTGGAGGCCTGGTAGGTGCGGTTCTCGTCGCTGAAGTCCTGGTCCACCTCAGCATACTCTGTCTCCCCAGCCCCCGCAGCTCGGGACTCATACACAGGAGTCACGTTGTGACACAGGGCGATGGCCTTCACAGCTTCATGAATTCGGCTGCTAACACTCCTTCTGACTTTGGGAGCTGAAGACTGCGCCTTCCTTGGTGGAGTTGAACTGGCATTGTTTCCACTTGCTTGAGACTGTGTCTTTAAAACAAGGAATGTCACATAATTAAAGATAAAGCAAGGAGAACTGCATAGACATTGGAATTAATAACATATATTATTGTTAAAAAGTAGCTAGGGATAAGAAAAATAGTTTGATTTGATTATCTGATTCTATTTTGATTATTTGCTATAAAGCATCTATTAATGTGTTGTTTTTTATCCTAGTGCTGCAAAGTGCTTTGATATTTCCAGGTTGTCAAATACACCAAAATATTTGCTATAGCAGTGAAAAGCTTGGCAATCTCCTTTTGCTAGACTCACTTTAGCCATGGCATTTATTTTCCTAAGTCCTTAGTAATTTCTGTTTATTCATTACTTCTAAAAACATATTCAGTTACAGAACAAAATGGAATAGAATACTCACAACTACTTTTACCTTTCTTAAAACATGCTGTACATGAAATGGCGTAACGCTAAAATGCAGGACAAAATTTTCAACAGAATTCCCTTAAAGCTGTAAATTAATTCAGCTTACAGTTGTCTCTAAATTTAGATTGTCTAGTTTGTGGATAATAACCAAACACAATTCTGCTCATTCACAGGAAACTGACCCTGTGTCATGTTTTAAGATCACGCTCCCTGGAAGCCACTGCCCACTTAGCACTTCATGAGTGCTTGATGCTCTTTAGATCAGCTGTGTCTGAGGGGCTCCCTCTTGCCCATGGAGGACGACTGCTTGTTCTTACTAACCTCCTGTTTAGCCGAAGGCCTTCTTGGGCGTGGCATGAGATGAGAATCTCCCTCGATCCCAATAGTCCCATCAAACAATTCTGCAGCTAACTTCAGAGCAGTTCATGACAACCTTCCTTAGAAAGGAAGCCTCTTGTCCTGACGGGTGCAGAGCCACTGAGCCGTGAGCACTCTGCCCATCAAATTACAGTGCTCCCTAATAAAGGGGTTGACTTCTCTGTTCGTCTGGCATGCTACTCAGCAAAGGCTCTCACCCTTGGCATCTGCATTCTGCTAACACTGATGCCATTACAGCACAAATAAACTAAGCTGCTTTACTCCTCCTTCTGAATTATGTTTATTGATGTTTGCCTAATTTAATTTCACACAAATTCTATTAAAGATTATGCCCTCTCTCACCAAATGCTTCCAGTGGGGAAATATAATCAGGTTATAAAAGATTTGTGTTACATTACAGTGGACCTACTAGACTCTTGCCATCTTAATAATAAAACAGAACACAACAAGGACTAAAGCCAATTTCACATAAATATACTGTCTAACCAGCTAAACAAAGGGCAGTTTTTAGCAAAAATAATTTTTTAATAAATATTAAATACTTGTTATTTCTATATAATGAGTTATCTTTTCTGCTTTTTATTTTTTCTAGTAAAATAACAACTTATTTGGAACTATTAAAATCATTTTCATGGATAATATATAAATTAAGTTTTAAAAGAACAAATGTCACCCAGTACCATTTCAATCTAGACATAGATTACTAGGAGAAGGGAAAGCTTATTGCTTTTCCTGTTTAGATTTTTTCTTCTGTTGATAAACACTCTAGATTACAAAATATTCTAACATTAAAACTGTATAGCTAAATGAATATCACATCCAAATTAGTTATGACTGGTTGTGTGCATGTATGTGTCTACATGCATATCTGAGCATATAAACATTTACCTATAATAAATATATACTTTTTTTTTTTTTTTCATTTGACAGCATCTCAAACAGAAAAAAGTATACACCAGACTGGTCTCAAATTCTGTTCTAAACACTACAGAAGAGAAAGTTTAAAAAAAAATTAAATACAATGCTGACAATATAACTTGAGTTCTGGCAGACCCTATGTACAACAGAATGAAACACTGTCCAGTCCTGCACTGTCCTCACAATCGTTGCTATGCTTATTGCAGTCACTGTGTCAGTCCATCTCACTGAGGGCCTTCCTTTTTCAATGACCCTCTGCTTCACCAAGTATGATGTCTTTCTCCAGGGACTGGTCCCTCCTGATAACATGTCCAAAGTACATGAGACAAAGCTCACCAACCTTACTTCTAAGGAATGTTCTGCTTCTATTTCTTTCAAGACAGATTTGTTCATTCTTCTGCCAGCTCATGGTATATTCAATATTCTTTGCCAATATCATAATTCGAAAGCATCAATTCTTCTTCAGTCTTCTTCATTGTCCAGTTTTCACATGTATGTGAGGCGACTGAAAACACCACGGCTTGCGTCAGGCGCACCTTAGTCCTCAGAGTGACATTTTTGCTTTTTAACACTTTAAAGATGTCTTTTGCAGCATAATGCAATACGTCATTTGATTTCTTGACTGCTACTTCCATGGGCCTGGATTATGGACTCAAGTAAAATGAAATCCTTGACAACTTCAATATTTTCTCTATTTATCATGATGTTGCTTATCGGTCCAGTTGTGAGGATTTTTGTTTTCTTTATGTTGAGGTGTAATCCATACTGAAGGCTGCAGTCTTCCATTTTCATCAGTATCTGCTTTAAGTCCTCTTCAATTTCAGTAAGCAAGGTTGTGTCATCTGCACATGCAGGTTGCTAATGAGTCTTCCACCAATCCTGATGCCACATTCTTCATACAGTCCAGCTTCTTGGATTATTTGCTCAGCATACAGATTGAGTAAGTACGGTGAAAGGACACAACCCTGACACACGCCATTTCTGATTTTAAACCATGCAGTATCCACTTGTTCTGTTCGAACGACTGCCTCTTGGTCTACGTACAGGTTCCACATGACCACAATTAAGTGTTCCAGAATTCCCATTCTTCACAATGTTATCCTTACTTTGTCATGATCCATACAGTTGAATGCCTCTGCATAGTTAATAAAACGCAGGTAAACATCTTTCTAGTCTTCTCTGCTTTCAGTCAAGATCCATCTGACGAAAGCAATGCTATCACTCTTTTCACATCCTCTTCTGAATATGGCTTGAATTTCTTGCAGTTTTCTGTCAATGTACTACTGCAACTGTTTTTGAATTATCTTCAGCAAAATTTTACTTGCATGTGATATTAATGATATTGGTCGATAATTTCTAAATTCTGTTGGATAACCTTTCTTTGGAATGGGCACAGATATGGATTGCTTCCAGTTGGTTGGCCGGGTACCTGTCTTCCATATTTCTTAGTATAGACAACTGAGCACCTCCAGCAGTGCATCCGTTTGTAGAAACATCTCAATTAGTATTCTGTCAATTCCTGGAGGCTTGTTTTTCACCAATGCTACAATGCAGCTTAGCTTTCTTCCTTCAATACCATTGGTTCTTGATCATATACTACCTTCTGAAATGGTTGAATGTTGACCAATTCTTTTTGGTACAGTGACTCTGTGTATTCCTTCCATCTTCTTTTGATGATTCCTACGTCATTTAATATTTTGCCCATAGAATCCTTCAAAATTGCAACTCAAGGCTTGAACTTTTTCTTCAGTTCTTTCAGCTTGAGAAATGTCGAGTATGTTCTTCCCTTTTGGTTTTCTAACTCCAGGTCTTTGCACAGGTCATTATAATTCTTTACTCTGTCTTCTTGAGCCGCCCATTGAAATCTTCTGTTCAGCTCTTTTATTTCATCATTTCTTCCATTTGCTTTAGCTATTCTACGTTCAAGAACAAGTTTCAGAGTCTCTTCTGACATCCATTTTGGTCTTTTCTTTCCTATCTTTTTAATGACCCTTTATTTTCTTCATGTATGATATAATAAGGTAGAAATATTTATTTAAAATTAATTCAAGAGCTAATCTGGACTACCTCTGTATATCAGAATGATGATTAAACCCTATGGGGAAGTCCTACTCTGTCATACAGGGTTGCCAGGAGCTGGAACTGACTCAACAGCACACAACAACACGCCTAAGAAAATAAAGAAACTTGCTGACTGACAGGTGAGCATGTAATAAGCTCAGTTTACATCAACAGTACTGGGTAATGTTGAAAGAAGGGTGTGTTTGGGGGCCAACCAGCTCCTCACCTGTGAGTATGACGTGATGACATGGTTTTGGATCTCATCCATTGTGTCAGTCCCATAAGACACAGTGCCCAGGTGGAGACGCTTAAAGACCATCTCATTCTGGGTCAGAGTCCCTAGAAGAACAACATCAGCAACACCGAGAGAGGAATTAATAGGACTAGTAGACAAAGAAGATAAAAATTTTACATCGTGAGCATTTCAATCAATGAGAGAAACTTGTTCACATCTCTGACTATGCCCCAGAACATTCTTCTATGTAATACAAAGTATCTTGAAGACTTTCCTTGCTACTCTTTTCATCTTAAGAGTGAAGGCCAAAACATTCCTTCTGGAGTGTCCAGTTCACTTCAGTCAGTTTTGATCATGTGAAGAGTTCCAGCTGGGTGAAGAAAGCCTCCTGCCTGCCTCTCAGCTTGCATGTGTTACTCGGTACAAAAGCAATTTTTGCCTGTTCTGAAAGAGATAGGTGGAAAACTGGAAAACTGACTCACTAGCTTTTAATTATAATATGAAGCATTGCTGAGAAAGACATCAAACAGCCCAGAATTAGTGTGTCTATCAATTTAAAAAAAACTACTTTTGTAAAATTAAGTATTTTTAATCGCGAACAGAAAGAGATACAGATATCCCAGGCATTTTTTAACTTAGCATATATTTGTGTCAATTAGAACCAGGAAAGGGTGCCTGTGCATGGACTAGGCCACGTGCATGCAGGTATGAGGTCCGTGAAAGGGAAGACATTTCTTCTTCAGTTGGTTTTCTAGAGTGAGCTGTGTCAGTGAGCTCACTGAATGCTGGCTCCTCAGCAGACGGACAGCTGTCAAAGTGGTTACTCCTTAAGACGTCAGTGAATTTGGGCCAAAAATTTAATGTGAGCTTGAAGGCAAGCAAGGTTAATTCAGCTGGTATGGAAGGAAAGGCAATTTAAGAGAGGACCATGAGTAATTCAATGTATGAGATCTCATGGTTTCCAATGTAATATCAGAAAGATATACAACCAAATGCAGTGAAATTATATCATGACTACAGTGGCTTTCAGAGATAATATTATATATTTCAAAAACCTGGTGAGTTTGCATTTAAAATAGCACATAAATTAAAATGTTATACATTTTATGACTCTGAAGGCAGAACCTAAACAATTAATATAAAAAATGATTTTTACTTCTCCTGCTTTGTAGAAGAAAACAACACCGGGCAGTTTAAACATCTCATGAACATGTGCTTCCTGTCCTGTCATGAATGTGCTTTCCTTTGGGTCAGCCACTGATGCTGATGTAGCTAAAAGTGTGAACACGGGCAATCATAAAAGCAACCAACAGCCAAAAAAAAAAGCTGGATTTTTCACATGGTTACAAAACACTCATGAAATATTAACTAATTTTTTGTTTTCTTTGGCACACATGATACTGAAAATACAATACAGAGTATTCTCATAAATACATCTAAGACCCCATGTAAATTAGTTAGGATTAGTATTAAAAGGCAAATAAGTTACCTCACTTACCCCTTTCAATAGGACACAGAGCCTCTTTTAAAATAAAAGGAAGTAGCTGTAGTTTACCATGACTATTTCAGAGAGTCTAACAATCATGAGGCTGGCAGGACTGGGCAATGGTTTGTTTTGTTGTATGACGGGGGTGGCCATGAATCGGAGCCAGCTTGATGACAACTAACACCACCTTCATTTTAGAGATTATTTCAATAAACCCTCGTAAAAGAGTGGGTATGATACATGAAAGTTTTATGAATTTGAAAGAGTAACTACTATCAGGGATGCTTGTCAGTTTTATAAATTTTGCCTTTTACAAAATTGTATTTAGCCCCTTTCCTATGGCTGTGATCTATATGCCTTGAAAAAATGCCTGCCAGTTTTCCTGGAATCAAACATAAAACTCTATGAGAAGTGTGTACTCCAGAAGGTTTCTGTCATGGCATCCTCATGCTGACTGTCTTTCCTCATTTGAGCTGAGATTTTCTTAGTTTCTGGTACGACGAGGGCTTTTTGATCAAAACCTGGACGGTTCAGTCACACATTGGGACTCTTGCTCTTGTGGCAACAGAAGTTTCAGCAGACTCTCTGACACTCTCCTGTGGAGAAAGGCGCACTCCTCATCATGGCCAGGGGGGCGGGGGGTACTGTCTAGGTTCCCTTTGATTTGGCTGACACTCATGTGGAGGGGGCTCCTCCTTCTTGCTGGGTCCCCCCTTGGCCTCCACTGATGTTGCCAGGCTGGAGGAGCAGGGATTCCTCCTGACTGCTCCCCACGTGGCCTCCAAGAGTATCAGGGGAGGGGTCACCTTGCCTCTGCTGGTGGTAGTGGACATCCTGAGCACCGGTCGGTCTCCTCTGACCCACTCGTTAGCGTATACTTAGCAGTTATGATACACCATGTTTCATCTGACTGTTCTCCCTAAGATGTATATTTAGATGGTTTCCATTTTTTTGCTGTTACAAAGAATGCAGAATGGTTCCTCCTTAGGACAGTGGATTTGGGCCAAAACACCTTTTATTATTTCTATAGGATAGATTCTTAAAAATGGAATTACTTAAAGATGGGATTTTAGAGAACACAATTCGAATTTATACATAATGACATACTAATCTCCCAAAAGGTTACACAAATTGTTATGCCCACCAACAATATGCGACAATCCGCAATGCTATCAGCAGTTAGGAGCCCTAGTGGCACAAGTGGTTTGCGCTAGACTCCTAACCTAAAAGGTGGTGGTGTGAATCCACCCAGTGGGTCTGTGGAAGAAAAGCGTGGAGATGTGCTTCCATAGAGATTACAGTCAAGAAAACCATATGGAGCACAATTATACTCTGCAACAATGGGGTTGCCATTACTTGGAATTGATTTGATGGCAACAGGTTTGGTGTCTTTCTTGTTTTTGTAATCACATTTTAAATCACAAGAAACATTTAGTCACAAAGTTGGTAGAAAGTTCTAAATCATGTTCTTAACAGTTGCAAGTTACACATTCATCCACCTGGTGATAAATCAGCTTTTATGCCTATTTATCAGAAAACTATAAATTCTATTATTCACATATAACTTGTTAATGCTTACTTAAGAGGTTTTGAGACCAGTCAAACATTGCTACAATAAAATATTGTGGTTTATATTGATAATTTTCCCTTGGATACTGAATTTATTCTACACCAAGCTGCAGAGTGGGTAGGTTTAGATCTCTCTTAGGCACTCAAGGTGACCATGAGGTTGGGTCTCCTGACTCTGTGGCCAGATGGGATGTTTGCGTCTCAGGCAGTGTGATGTGGCCCAGGAGCCCCTGGACTCTGCCCATATTACAACCACCTGTGGAGATGTTTCAAGTCCCACGCTCAGGTCACACGCCTTGTCGACTAAATCAGGATGTCTGGAGCACAAAGCCAGGCACCAGTGCTCTTCCCAAGATCTCAAAGCAAGACCAAACTGCAGCAACGTCTGGGAACCGTGACCTGAGTGTTTCTCTGCTTTTCCACGTAACATTCTGCTGAAAAGACCTAGAGACACAGTGAGGGAAGGATCCCTTCTGCAGAATCTGCAGGGGTGTAAATCCACAACCACATCTCTGCTTTTAGACCCAGTCAGGTAGCTCTGTTTCTAGCAGTTATAGATGGACTTCAACTTGCTTATTCTCCTTCAGAACTGAACGCACTGTCAAGTGGATTAGGTTCAATAAATGCACGAGGAAGGCTAAGTAACGGGCTGCTTTTAACTTAACCAATGTCTTCCAGGCTAATTTCCAGGGCTGACTCAACTACAATATGGGTGTGAGAACCACTGTGACCATGATTAGTATCAGTACTTGTGTTCTGTCATTTTCCACTTATTTATCAAATATGGGAGAAAGGAAATAAAACACATTAATGTTACTAAGAGATGACAAAACAAACACCATTGTCCAACACATGATACAGAGGAATAAATCAGCATGTTCATCAGCTAATGGACACAGGCTGAATCCACAAAACTCAAGCGGCGCCTGTACGAAGGTGATACACACATTTCAAACCTATTCAAATATTCGGGTAACTTAAATTCTGTAAAAGGTACTTATAAGTAAATTATGGTAAAGCAGCCAAAATCCCTTTAGCTGCATAAATATTGCAGCATCTGCTCCTTGCACACGTGGCCCATGTGTCCCACATCTCTTAGTGGGCACTGCCACCTGTGCTTTGCACATGTGGCCCATCTGTCCCGCGTCTCTAAGTAGGTACTGTCATCTGCCTGTACACGTAGCCCATGTGTCCCACATCTCCGAGTGGGTTTTGCCGTCTGCTCTTGCACACGTAGCCCATCTGTTCCTTGTCTGAGTTCATGCCCAGTCCCACGTCTCCGAGTGGGTACCACCATTTGTTCCTTGCACACGTGGCCCATCTGCCAGGGTTGTGCACCTTTTTTTCCGTTAAAAAATGAGGAATCAGTTCTTAGGTTTGTGATTTAAATTTAATATTAGATACAATTATTGCATGATAGTTCAGAGGTTTTTCAAGGCAAAATACAAAATCTTAGGTCCCTGGTTAGGTACAAATTTGTCTTTCATTAAGCTAAAGGTGGTCCAATGCATTTAAAGTACAACAAATTGCTCTATCAAGAGCATTCACAATGCCATAAAAGTCAAATAAAGGGAATTTCTGACCTGTAAGGTCTACATTCTATGTTTTATATACAAAGAAAACAAGGTTAAATGACTAGGTAAGGTTTTGTAGTTTTCAGCATACAAGTCTTACACTTCTTTTGTTTTTATTCCTAAGTATTTGATTCTTTTTGATGCCATTGTAGATGGAATTACTTTCCTAATTGCATTTTTGGGTTGTTCATTGCTACCATATAGGAGCACAACCGATTTTTGTATATTGATGTTTTACCCTGCAGCATTGCTGAACTCATTTATTAGTTTTAGTAGGTTTTTTAGTGGATTCTAAGGATTTCTGATAGGCAAGATCATGTTGCCCACATTAAAGACCTTCTTACTTTTTCCTTTATAATCTGGATGCCATCTTCTTTTTCTTGACTAACTGCCCTGGGTAGAACTTTTAACATTCATGGCAGCGTGATTGATAACAGCCAAAAAGTGGAAACAACCTAATGGTTATCAACTGATA